CAATTAAAATCATATTAAATCATTTAAAATCATTTACAATCATATTAAATCAATAAAAATCATTTAAAATCATATTAAATCATATTAAATCATGTAAAATCATTTAAAATCATTTCAATTCACTTTCATGCAGGGTCTACTCAATGCAGTGACAACAGTATTCCCAAACTGCCATCATAGGTACTGTTTGAGGCACATCTATGCAAACTTCCAGAGAGCAGGATTTGGAGGAGAGGATTTGAAGAGATGCATGGATGCAGCTGCCTATGCTTACACTGAACATGACTTTAATTTGGCTATGGAAAGCATGAAGGCTGAGTGCACTGCTGCTTGGGAGTGGATGTCAAGAATTCCTCCTAAAGCTTGGTCTAGGCATGTAATGGACACTAATTGCAAAACTGATTTGGTGGTGAATAACTTAAGTGAAGTTTTTAATAAGTACATTCTAGATGTAAGGAACAAGCCAATTGTCACAACGATCAATGGGATCAAGGACAAGTTTCTAGTGAGGTTCCACCAGAAGAGAGAGGGTGGAAAATGTGCTAGATGGGAGATTGCACCAACCTATGCAGAGAGGTTGGAGATGAACAAGAAGTATGCAAGGGATTGCAAAGCACTGATAGCTGGCCAAGGACTTTTCCAAGTCACTAGTGGAGACAAGACCTATGGTGTTGACACAAACCTACAGACATGTGGGTGCAAGAAATGGGACATCACTGGAGTTCCTTGCAACCATGCTTGTTCTGCCATCTATAGGTCTAAACAGCTGCCAGAGGATCATATCAATGTGTTTTTCAAGAAATCTATGTACTTGGAGGCATATAAGCCAGTAATTTACCCTGTTCCTGGTCCAGATAGCTGGGTGAAAACTCCAACACCTAACATTGAACCACCACAATTCAAAGATGACAAGAAGGGGCCAGCAGAAGAGAAAAGGAAAAAAGGAAAGTTTGAGCCACCTCAAGCAAAGCAGACATCTAGGATGGCTACTATAACATGTGGCAACTACAAGCTACAAGGACACAAGTACACAAGTTGTCCAAAGCCATTGAGGCCTGATCTGCAAATCAGGAGGAACAAGCACATGGTATTTTCATTTTGAAATTAATTGAGTGTTCATTTCTATTGACTGATCATTATAAAGTTGTTTAATTTTTTAATTACAGGAAAACAGGACTGTACCTGAATGGCACCATGGTGCAGCTTCATCAGCTACTGGAAGTGCTAGGGGTGCACCATCATCATCTACTACAAACTCCTCTCCTGCTGCTGCAAGAGGTGCAAAGACTACTAGTGCTGCTGGAAGGGGTGCAGCCTCATCTCCTGCTGCTGGAAGGGGTGCTAGTTCATCTGCTGCTGCTGGAGGAGGAGCAAAGTATGCTACTACTTCTGGAAGGGGTGCTAGTTCTTCTCCTACTGCTGGGAGAGGTGCAAGATCTTCCACTGCTGCTGGAAGGGGTGCAAAAAGGTTCAAGCCTCCAAGAAGTTCTGCAGAAGCTTCTACTAGCCAGCCTGCAGGCAGTAGGCCAAAGAGGACAAAGTACATGAGCAAGAGGATGGAGGGGTACTTTTATGCCAGTGGGAACTATTAAATGCTCAAATTTGAAGTCTGTATGCAAGTGCATGTGTGCTAAATCAGGCATTACATCACTTTATTTATGACATTATGAACCTATGTATGGCACTCAGAACCTAAGTTTGTTAAACCTATGTATGGCACTTTGAAGTTATCTATGTTTATCTCCCGTTGTTCAAATTCTGTGCAAACATTTAGAATATATGTTCTGTGCAAATATTATGGCAAAACAACCACAAACATTTAGAATATATATTCTGTGCAAATATTATGGCAAAACAACCACAAACATTTAGAATATATGTTTTGTGCAAATATTATGGCAAAACAACTACAAACATTTCATTTCATACAAACAAAATACATTAATAAGTAGGACATTGATCCAAAGATGCATTGATCCAAATATAGATTGATAATAAGTAGGACATTAATTAGTTCTTGGGAGTACACAACACAAGTCTTGGACATAAAGATACATAAAGCATTACAACTTTGGAAGTGCATAAGAGCACATTCATATCAACTGCAGTGCTACCCTAAACCACACCACAATACATACTTAAAAATCATCACATATGTCCTTCAACTTCTTGATCTTGTCCTTGTACCCATGTTTCTGTTTGAGCAGATCTGCAATCATGTACTCCAGTTTTTTCTTCTCTTGTTTCAGTTGGTCCCTCTCTGTCACAACTTGGTCTCTCTCTACCACTAGCTGGTCCCTCTCTTTCTCTGCCTTTGCCCTAAGTACCTGATGAAGATTGGTACAACCATGGTCTGCCAGCTTCTTCTTCTCAATCTCCTCTTTGAGATCACTTAGAGCCAACCTAGCATTGCCCAACTCTGTGATAGCATCCTCCTTGTCAGCAACCATTTTAGCAAAGTCCAGTTTGAAAAACCTCAGATCTTCCTCCATCTTCCTCTTTTCTCCAACTAGTTTGAAATTTCTTTCACCAAGCTCAACATTTTGTTTCAACCTGTCATCGATTTCTTTGTTATACATGCTCCACAATTCAGTGAGGGTGAACTGCATAGCCACTGACCACTCTGGGTCTATCCACTCGAGATAGTTGCACTTTAGTTCTGCCTACAATTAAATAAATATGTTCTCAATAAGAAATTATATGAAATGTGCACAAATTATATAATACTGTATGAAATTGTAGTTTAGTTCTTTCCACCCAAATGTGCACAATCTATAGTTTTTGTTCTATCCACTGAAATTTAGTTTAATTCTATCCACTGAATTTTAGTTTAGTTCTATCCACTAAATTATATTATATGCATCAATTGGTGCCTAAATCAAATATTACATCATTAATTAATAGATATATTCTCAAAATTGTATGCACAAATTCTGGGCAGAAACAATTATAACAACATATACAATTTTTTCCATCTATAAGATTGTATATGCATAGATTATATGCATAGATTATGGGCAACAACTATTACATCTTCATGGGCTACATTATATCCATCTATAAGATTGTATATGCATAGATTATATAGATTATGGGCAGAAACAACTATTACATCAACTGAAGCAACATCTATCCAGGAACAAATCTTTGATACACAAAATTGGAGTACTGACAAGTGAATGGAGCATAAACTAACTAAGCTAATCTACTTACACTACTAACCGACATACCTTCTCCTGAGCACACGCAAGAAAACGTCTGCCTGTGTCCACAGATTCAAATGCAACAAGCTTGACGCACGGTTCTTGATGCAGACAACGAGACGACAGATCGTGAGCAATGCCACTCCATTGATAGCAAGAGATAGTCCTAGGAAGCTAACCAACACACAAATTGCACAAATCAGCGACCTGGTTAAAAATCCCCAAATGATGAACCCTAACCCTAGCAGGATGAACCCTAATCCGTGGGGGAGGCGAGAGGCAAACACGCATACCTGGCTAGTGACTTCTTCGCCATCCAAAGAAGAGCTCGAGGACTGGTCGCTCCAAGAAACCATGGCGGAGCGGCGAAAGGCGGCGAGTCGACAGTGACGACACCGACAGTGGTCGGAGTCGAGAGAGAGGAGAGCGAGAGTGATGAACTGGCTGGTCTGGTTCGAACACCGACCGGTGCGGGCCACTTAGACGGGCGCACCGAAACGGCCGTCTCTCGTCGTCTAACGGCGTCCGTCAACACGCGCCACGTCAGCCTGACAGGCGGGCCCCACCTGTCGGATTCGCTGTTTTCTGGGCTAAAACGCTGCGTCAGTGCTCCGCGTTACAGATTAGCCCCATTGTTGGTGGTTTTTTGTGAACTGCCTCAAATGTGGTACCGATCTGTTACCCTAGCCCATAATGTGGTGGTTTTGAGTAAATAACTCGCATTTTGATATCATCCTGAATGAGATTCACCAAGGCTCTTGACGCCATCTCAGCATTCTCAGTGACCCTTCTGTTCCGTTCCTTTCAAAGATGCCAAGCAATGTATGCCGAGAGGGATGTTTCCTCCGTGGCCTTGGATTGCGCACAACGATGCATATAGAGCCTGTTCCACCAATCTGAAACTGAGTTTGCAGAGTGCACCACGTTGTAAATCCTATCACTTGTACCCTGGAATAGGTAGCAGACCTCTCTCGCATAGCTGCATCGCAGCGTGATATGTTCCGCGGTTTCGGGTTCCTGATCACACAGCCGACAGCAGGCATTGTGTGGCCATCCTCTAGCCTGCAGCCTGTCCGCAGTCCAATTTCTATTCTGCAGCAATAGCCAGATGTAGAACCGTACCTTTCCCTCAAGCTTTGTTCTCGACACGTGTGCAATCCCGGGCTGCTCAATCCATGCAGCGAACTGGATCTCATAAGCTAGCAGAGCAGGCCGAGTATCTTCCATTTGCAGTGACATTTTCGATGGCATTTATTCTTAGCATACAGCAAAACTAACATGAGGGGCTCGTATGTTACATCCAAGCAACCGTCCGATAGAGCTGTTAGATGGGTGTAGTTGGAGCAGAAGTCACTTCTATCCACCATTTTAACATAGCTTAAAAATTGCAAACAATGTACTATACGCTAAAAAATTGTGCAACCGCAAAAACTATATGCTAATTAAGAGTTACAACCCTAGCCAACGCCCCATGCTTTGCCAAAAACTGTGTTTCTTTGAATAACATTTAGTTTACATTGCAAGAATTGAAAACAAACAATGTTGCAAAAATAATTAGGATACATTATGCAGCATGTCTATGCACATTTTGGCGGAGGGTGTATATGTCAAGTAGTACTGCTAAAATTGCTCTCAGACAGCATAAATGATCTATTACAGTATCTTACAGGTCACTGCCATTTCTACACACAACAACAACATGTGGGAAGCACAGTGCAACATGACAATGGATGGTTCAGTTTCATAATCTTATAAACGACGCTTGTTTGCCAATTATCTCATTCTTCAGAATCTTCATTATACTGTTGCCACAGTCTTCTCGGAAGGAAGGATTCCAATAATGCGTGCGATCTCTATCTTTTTTCTGATATAATCCTCATAGGACTTGGGCATATTAACCTGAAAAGGAGAAGAATTTCACTAGGGAAATCATCTTTCAAAAGCATGAATAACGCAGAGGTGAATTCACAAATTACAGTACCAGCTTTTTAACTCCGTCTGCAATCAACTCCTTAGCTTTATCCTCTTTAACCTGAAGGCAAGCAAACCATACATCAGAAGGAAATATTTCAATGAATTACACCTGCATGTCACATACAAAAGACGCTACTTACTCCAGGGCGAATGGCTGCCGTGCAGGTATGGAACTGAAGCCAGGAAGATGAAAAGAGATAAGCATATATGCACAGAAAAGAATATTAAGTTACAAGTGCAAATTATCTATTAATAAAAACAGCTAACGTACGTCCTCTTCCATCAACGTCATGGTGTACTCATGGTCCAGCGCAGTTTGCATTAAACCTTGTCGTACCGGAAACTTGTTCATCTTACAAACGTCCTCCATAGCCTTTCTGAAACTCTGTTGAACATTATTCAAGGGAAAAGTCATGCATTGCTAAGCATATACAGTGTATTCGAAAACCATGAACCATCATTGAGTAGTTGCTTAGTTGCGCATAACACACTAACCGTTCCCTTTGTGACCCGCCGCCAAATCTCAAAGTATAAACGATCATACTCCTTAAACCAAGTATGATAATAGCAAATGCGCTCTTTATACTCCTAAATCAAGTGAATGCAACTTTCAGATACAATATAGGCCATTGTAAGCTACATTAAATTCATGTGTGTGAGAGATCCTACATCAAAGCCATTGTAAGCTAAAGTAGGAGTGATCTTGGGAAAGCTAGTAGCAGCAATCTTAATTGCTTGAAATGCTCCTCGGGAAGATATTTTACCCCACTGAACAACAACAAGTTACGAGGGTGTTAAAAGATATACAAATAATTAGCAGTGTCATTCCAAGAATTTTGTAAGGCCATACTTACTTTGACGGATGAGCGGCAAATATCGACATAATCTTCCATCCACTGTTGCCGGAGAAAAAGGAAGTTGTAAGTCCAAAGAAATTTGAAAGCATTGAACAAAATTAGACAATTTCCTTAACATGATCTCTGATGCATACCTTCAGTCGCTTGGATAATTCCTCGCAGTACTTGAGATACTCCCGTTCAATATCATAGCTATGAAGGTAGCTATGGTAGTCACTCCACATGTTGTACTCGGTACCACCCTACATTGAAAAGGACAGAGAGAGAAAATCGATTGCTTAGCAATTTTTAGAACGACAGGCAATACATAACCTAAGCAAGATTTGATTGAACTAAAGGCTTGCAGCTGCAAAGAAAAAACAAAGTTTAACCATATATGATAAAAAAGAATGAATAAGTGGCTAGTATTTATTAGAAAATACAATTCAGTTGCTTAGAAAAACAAAAAAAGAAATCATTAGGCACAGTCAAAGAGTCGATCAGTGAGCCGTTTGATAAAAAAACGAAGGTAATGAGCACTAAGGAACAAGGTGAAAGATTTTATCTGTTGGCACTATATTTAGTCCTGCTACATTTTTCGGCTTCTTTCCAAACAAGAATGGTAGTTTTGGAGACTGCATAATGTGTGTGATTGCCAGACAGTTGTGTCAGTACAATTGACCACAATTATAAATTGAAGATCACTCACATAATTTTTTAGGACTAGGCGTTGATAGTCACTCAGGGAAGCACATTCGCAGTAAGCAGGGTAGAAAAACCAATCGAGTGTTCCATCTTCTTCAAAGCTGATGAAAAATCCCTTCTCCTCAAGAAACTCCATACTACAATCATCCTCAGTTTTATCCATAAGGTTATCATCCTCTTCCGATGTAGCGTCGTCTTCCTCAGGGAATAGAAGTTGCTTCTCTGTCAATGTAGCTAAATATTCCCTTTCTTCCTTACCGTCCTCTTCTTCCTCAGGAAGGTTATCACCATGCGGCTCTTCCTTGGGCTGTGACAACTACAGACAATGAGATGACACATAGAAGATCAAATTAAATGCAAACACGAGGTTAAATAATCCAGCAAATGCAGGCATTGGGCAAGTAAATTCTGCCAATATAATGCATGGCATGTGAAGATGGAACTGTGGACTGAACCTTGTATTTGTAATATCTGAAGCGGCACAGTGCATGGTCGACGTATTGCTGAACGAGATCCTCTTCTGTCAGCCCAGCTCTAAGATCAACCCACGGAGGCCCGGGAGCCAGCTGGTCAAAGTAAGCAAGGAACTCCTCATCGCTGATGTCCTCTCCCACGCCCGATCGATTCAGCTCTTGGATCAAAAGTTTCGCTTCATGTATATCTTGTATGTGCAACTCTGCTTTCTTGACAAACTACACACTCGTCGGGGTCAGATTCGGGGATGTCCTCTGCTGCAGGGTGCTCATGCTCGTGCGGCATCTCTCCGCTCGAGCCCGTGCCCGCGGCCGCCTTTTCGGGACGCACACCGACGGCGCCCTCGCCTCGTGCTGGAGCACCCCGGCCCCTTTACGCGATGCGGCGGCGGCAACCGTCGAAACCCTAACCTAATCGGCCATGGCCGGGAGAGTCCCGTCTCTGCGGTCCAGCCACTGTAAAGTATGGAGCACCTTCCAAACTGAAAACGTGTCTTAAAAACAGATATAAAAGAAGGACGTCGATAACTGCTACACGTGTGGGCGTTAAGAAATCTGTCCATACATTCTGTGTGATGTCTAAGAGGACCAGCCCACATGTCTGTGTGTGGGCAAAACAATTAGCGCCCACACGTCTCTTTTTTTTCCTTCCGGTCCCTCTTACACGCGTGCGTGTGGACGAAATAGATAACGCCCACACGCCCGATACATCAGGCCTCGTACCTCGTGGTCCCGCAGGCCCCACGTGACACTTTACCGCGCGCCCCGCAGTTGCCATGGGCCGGACCCTCGTCCATGTTCGTTTAAGTGCAGTTGCCATGTCGGACAACTACAGTTGTCATGTTTGCTCAACTGCAATTGCCATTTCAGGTCAAAGTTCCAGATTGTCATTTTTTTGACAACTACAGTTGTTGCCATGTGTGGTCCGGTCTACTGCAGTTGTCATGATTTCAAAACTTTAGGAGTTGCCACCTACTAACACTAGGCAGTTGCCATGTAGCGCTACAAAAAAAGGCATGGCAAATAACATGTTCGGGTAAAAAGAGAGAGTTGCCATGTGCTCACAAGCACGCTAGGGCAATTGCCGTTTAAAAAGAAAGAGTTGTCATCTGCTTACGTGCACGCTATGGCAGTTTGCCATGTATCATGCAAAACATATGGCAATTGACATGTTCGGTAAAAAAAGAGAAAGTTGCCATCTGCTTGCAATCATACTAGGTCAGTTGTCATGTACACTGCAAAACGCATGGTAACTGACAGTTTGGGTGTGGGAGAGGAGGCGGGTGTGTGGGCGAGATGGCAAACGCCCACACACTAGCCCTTGTGCGTGACTGAAAAACTGGTGTGTGGGCGAACTGCTAAACGCCCACACACCGGCCCCTCCGTGTGGTAAAACGAATGTGTGAGTGACCTCTCTCACACACCACACATGCGAATTGTCCTACATGGCATACAAAATCAGCTAATTCATGTCAAGATTTGTGCAGAAGTTACTGGACGGTGATGGAGGCGCGTGGACGAGTTGGCTAACGCCCACATGTGTGGGCGTTAATATTTTTGTAAAAGAATCCAAAAATAAGTAGTATATGGGTAGATACAGCGTGTATTTTTTTTTGAAATCATATCCCACTCTTTATTTATGATTCAACCAGTGTTACATCACTTAATAAAAGAGGGACGAGCTTGCTAGGAGGCTCAACAACAAAAACTATTACAGGACGGGTGTAACATCCTTGATGCGACTATAGCTCCCACGTGTCGAGGCACGACTTAGAGACATAATCGCATTGAAGGCATATGTCGCAAGTTAGGCAATCTTCACAACATTCCATGTAATATAATAATGAAAGGGGAGATAACATAGTTGGCTTACACTCGCCATGTCAATCAAGTACATAAATAATATTACATCATCCAAACACTCATGGCCCGACTACGGTGCCAAAACAAAAGATAACCCAACAAGCGACATGGTCCCAATCACCCCCAACCGGGCACCACTACTGATCATCGGGAAAGGAAACATAGTAACGTTGAGAGTCTTCGTCGAACTCCCACTTGAGCTCATACGCGTCTCCTGGAGCGGAATCATCAGACCCTGCATCTGGTGTAATAGTAATCTGTGAGCCACAGGGACTCAGCAATCTCGCACCCTCGCGATCAAGACTATTTAAGCTTATAGGTAAGGCAAGGTAAAATATGAGAGGAGCTGCAGCAAGCGACTAGCAAGTTTGGTGGCTAACTTATTCGTAAAAGAGAGCGAGAAGAGGAGGCAAAGCGCGAGCGAGAAACTAGAGAGCAACCTGCGCAAACATTACTCCAACACCGTGTCCACTTCCCGGACTCCGCCGAGAAGAGGCCATCACGGTAACACACTCGGTTGATTCATTTTAAAATAAGTTAAGGTTCAAGTTATCTACAATCGGACATTAACAAATTCCCATCTGCCCATAACCGCGGGCACAGCTTTCGAAAATTCAATCCCTGCAGGGGAGTCCCAACTTAGCCCATGACAAGCTCTCACGGTCAACGAAGGAATAAACCTTCTCCCAAAACGTTCCGATCAGACTCGGTATCTCGGTAATTCAAGACACTTCGACAGGTTAAAACAAGACCAGCAACACCGCCCGAATGTGCCGACAAATCCCGATAGGAGCTGCACATATCTCTTTCTCAGGGCACACTCAGATGAGCGCTCCATACAACTAAAACCAAACCTCGAGTTTCCCTGAGGGGGCACTGCACATGACTCTAGTTTGGACCAACACTCCGAGGAGCACTGGCCCGGGGGGGTTTAAATACGATGACCCTCGGGCTCCGGAAACCCAAGGGAAAAAAGGGACTAGGTGGCAAATGGTAAGACCAATGTTGGGCATTGCTGGAAAAGCTTTAATCAAGGCGAAATATCAAGGGGTTCCCATTATAACCCAACCGCGTAAGCAACGCAAAATCCGGGAACATAACACCGATATGACGGAAAACTAGGGCGGCAAGAGTGGAACAAAACACTAGGCGAGAGGCCAAGCCTTCCACCCTTTACCAAGTGTATAGATGCATTAAGATAATAAGATAATATAATGATATCCCAACAAGTAAATAAAGGTTCCAACAAGGAACGGCCTTCAATCTTCACCTGCAACTAGCAACGCTATAAGAGGGGCTGAGCAAAGCGGTAACATAGCCAATCAACGGTTTGCCAGGACAATGGTGGGTTAGAGGTTTGACATGGCAATTTGGGAGGCTTGAAAGCAAGTGGTAGGCATCGTAGCATTGGCATAGCAAAAGAGCGAGCAAACTAGCATAGCAAAGATAGTAGTGATTTCGAGGGTATGATCATCTTGCATGCACAGTTGTCAGAGTTGACTGGATCCTCGAAAGCAAACTCAACGGGCTCCTCGTTAGCGAACTCGTCTCCCGGCTCTACCCAAACAAGACAAACAAGCAACAAGGATACAATCAACCACGTGCAAGGATCAAGCAATATGATGCAATGATGATATGCTATGCGGGATGCGATGCGGGATGCAAAATGCAAGATATGACAGAAAATGCATGAATCTGGCTTCAACTTGGAAATCCAAGTGTGCCACTAGAAAGATGAGACGAAACCGCTTGAAAACAATATAAAGAACGCCGGAATCGGAGTTACGGTTTGGAAATGGCAAGCGATTCAAAAATGACACCGGTCTGCGATTTACAGCAAGTAGGCATCTAAATGCGATGAGATGAACATGCTACATCACCCAAACATGACAACAAAATATATGGCAGGGATGCATTCAAGATGCTTAACAAAAGTCTAGCACTGAGCTACGGCCAAATCATCCATAAATAGGTTCAAACAAGCATGGCAAAAATGCATATGGCAAACAAATCTCAGACTTAGTGAAATTAACACTTGTCTGGAATTTCAGATCAGGTAGCACTCTTCGGAGCAACAAAACTACATGCTACAAGATCTGAACATGGCAAAGTAAAACATGGCATGTAGCTACTCAAAGAGCTTAACAAAAGTCCCTTAGTGACCTTGAGCCAAAAGGGATCAGAAAATACAATTTCAAGCGTGTGAACATAGCAAAAACATAATCAGTTTTCAGACTTAGTGAAAACTGGAGCAAGCTGAGATATAACTCAAGTAGGCATGTTCACGAGCTCGATGCACTCACTACGGTGCAAGTCATGGAAATAAAAAGCATACATCCATCAAGAAGGCACAAAATGCAATCTAGACATGGCAAGAACAATAGCATAGCATGCACGGATCAACTACAACATTATCGGCAAAATTGCAAACAAGTTGACAATCTGTCCAGATTCACAAAGTAGCAAAAGTAGAGCTCGATTGACTCAAGCTAGGGTGCTTCATAATTGCAAACAAAGACATGGATGGATAGAGCACTACAATAATAACAAAACATCCTTACTGATCATCCTCAAAAGAGGCACGGATCACTAGGAAACAACAAGAACATATGGCATCATGAGATAAACAGCTCAAGGACTTAGTGGAAATGCTAAGTCCCTGAAAACAGACTTCGCAAGTGCACCACTTTGCAAGCTTGCACAAGTCACCACACACATCACAAAAATACCTGGGTTGCACCTCTGGAAAGATGATTAAACCCTTAACAAAACATATGTAGAGCATCAGGGCATAGCATGCACACATTAATCATGGCAAAAATGACAA